TAATCGGTCTACAAATGCGTCCTCAGGAGGAAGCAGCCCATGAATTTGGACACGACCTGTAAGTCTTTTCTTTAACCAGTCTGTCTCTAACCCATTTGTCTGTCATTCAGAGAAGAGCCAGCAGGAGGCACTGGAGTACTTCACCAAGCAGATGAACGACGCTCACCACGGCGGCTGGAGCACGAAGATGGACTGGATCTTCCACACCATAAGACACATGCCCAATGAGCACTGACGCACCCACCCACACACCCACACTGGTGTGTTTGTTTACTGCACTACTGTGATGATTATGATACTAATGATGATGATGATGATGACAGACTCGTCATCTGATGTCATAGATTTTCTTTAAAGGTTTTTTGTCCTTGTGTCTTTTGGACGGTTGTCATAGAAACATGAATCTCAGGGTCAAAGGTCAGAGGGGTTTTGAAGATGCCAAAGGCAGGCTGGGAAAAAATGACGATGCTGATGATGAAGGTGACGGTGATGTCACAAAAGTCTTCCAATCGGTGCTACTGTTAGCTTGTTAGCTGCTGTGCTTTTCAAAAAGAGTCAAACTTTATTGAGTGAAATTTTATTGACAAGCAGCTGTAACTTTATAAAATGTTATTTTTGAGTGACATAACTTTATTGAAACCAGCAAAGTGAACACTGTGGTCACTGTGAGAGCAATAAAACTTCCAATAACCAATCAATATTTAGATTATGACAATCAGGAGTTCTGACCAGTAGGAAGGCAGAGCTGACCAGCTGTGGGCGGAGTCATCGTGATGATGCAGTCTAGAGACTGAAGTTACCTTCAGAGTTTATTGGAAGTATCTTTTGGAGTATTTTGTTGATTTGAACCCACTTAAACAGATTTTTACGATCAGCATATCATCCTCGTTAATCAGGGATCAAAGTACTCGACAATCTGAACCAATCAGCTGCTGCCGTTAGCCCTTAGCTAGTCTACTTAGCATTGTTAGCTGTTGGCTCATGAGTCATGCTGAGATAGTTAGCATTAGCCTGTTAGCTATTAGATAGCTGAGTTGTTGCACTGGATAAAGGAACTGTGGGTAGGTTTAGTTACCATAGTGAAAACCCCGTCCCTCTAATCTCATTGGCTGCCAGTTCCTAGGGCGGAGCTACATTCAAATAGTTTTATGTCAAGGTGAGAGATCAAAGCCCCGCCCCCTGCTGCATGCTAATCATTCATTGCTGACATCATCGACTGTGATGGTTACTATAGTGACTGATAACACACGGGGAGATGTGATGTGTTTGTTTCCATGTGATCAGTATTGATTGTTTTTCTGATGTATTAATGATTTTTAACTAATTGGTTTCTTCATGTATTGATTAGTGATGTTATTGATTCTTCTTGACCCTCTGACATAGGAGAGCAGGTCACCTGAAGGGCGGAGCCTGATGTTATAACACCATGCCCAGGTGTTAAAGCACTTATTGATCAGTGTTATTATGGATTATTGTTGTTTCAAAATAAAAGTTTAACTGGTGTACTGTGTGTATGTGTGTGTGTGCTTTACTCACCTGAGACATGTTCAGTTCCTCTGACGTCCAGCAGGTGCTGCTGTGACTTTTGAGTTCTGCTCTTTTTTAAAAATGAAATAAATAAAACTAAAATAATAAGATATTTCACCGTATTTCAAATAAAATAAATGCAAATAACTCTGGGTATTAATCAATCCATGATATATGACATCTTCAAGCAACTTAAAGAAGTCCAGACGCTTTTCTTTCCAAGCTCCTTAGACAGCATTTGACACTGTTGACCACACAATCCTATTAAATTAGGGGTCCCCAATCCCAGTCCACGAGGGCCGGTATCCCTGCAGGTTTTAGATGTGTCCTTGATCCATCACAGCTGATTTAAATGGATAAATAATAATAATAATAATAAACTTTATTTATAAAGCACACTTAAAAACCAAGGGTATGCAAAGGTGCTTAACAAGTAAGATAGAGAATAGAAGGAGGATAATAGAAATAGGACCAATGCAAGTACTAAGTATGCAAGCAGGTAGCTGTCACTGATACACAGGAAAGCAACAGGTACAGAGCAAACAAGAATTTAAATGAGCATAAAAGTGCATGATATAAAATCATAAAATAAATATTAACTAGAGGGAAAGGCAAGATTGAATAAGTGGGTTTTTAGTCATGATTTGAACAGTGCAATAGAATCAGATGTGCGGAGGTCGAGAGGAAGGTTATTCCACAGTACCGGTCAGAGCAAATGCAAATGCACGGTCACCCCGAGACTTCAGCCGAGGTCTGGGTTGGGTCAGAAGTAGTTGAGTGGCAGATCTGAGTGCTCTAGCAGGAGTATGTGGTTTGAGAAGTTCACTAAGATAACTTGGCGCTAATTTATTAATAGTTTTAAATGTGAGGAGTAACATTTTAAATTGAATACGGTACTTTATGGGCAGCCGATGCAAGCTAGCTAGAACAGGAGTAATATGGCAACATTTCCTGGTACCAGTCAAGAGGTGGGCTGCTGCATTTTGACTGTTTGCAGTCTAAGAAGAAGAGAAGAGGGACGACCGTAGTACAAGGAATCACAATAATCCAACCTGGAGGTCACAAAAGTGTGAATAAGCTTCTCCAGGTCCTCATGCAGAACATAATGCCGGCCTTAGAGATAAGGTGCAGATGGTGGAAGCTCGATCTCACTACAGCAGACACTTGCTTATCGAGTTTGAGCGAGCTATCCAGCAGTACACCCAAGTTACTGACATAGTCACAGGAAGAGCTAGCAAAGGAACCCAGGGCAGCACAGAGTTGGGCACGAGGGGTTTTACTGTTGAACACCACAATCTCAGTCTTCTTATCATTCAAAACAAGAGAATTACTCAGATAACCGTCTTGAAGTTCTCCAGAGGCCCGGTAATGAACTAATCATGTGATTCAGGTGTGTTGACCCAGGGTGAGATCTAAATCCTGCAGGGACACCGGTCCTTGAGGACTGGGATTGGGGACCCCTGTATTAAACCATCTAAAGACGTGTGTTGGGTTTGCACATGCATTTTATGTTCACATATGTGTGCTTGTGTGTGAATGTGTACACTCTTGTATATGTATGTGCATATCTGCATGTACACATATATTTTTACAAACATATATGGATGTCTCACAGTGTTTTCTATTTTTTCATCTTATCTATTTTAATTCTTTTTATTTGATTATGCTATCCTTCTGTTCAGCACTATGGCGGACACTTGATGCCCTTTAAATGTGCTTTATAAATAAAGATCACTTGACTTGAGAAGCATACATTAATGCAGAGAAGTGTATTTTCATTTATCGTTTTTTTAATGTATTGATTTATGCAGTGTTGGTCCTCCATATATTTATAAATATAATTTTGTAGTTTATGCACTATCGGTCCGCCATAATATTTATGTATCACTTATTATTATTATTAATGAAGTCAATTATCCCGCGTTGATCCTCCATACTTACGGACATAATGTTTCGCTTTTATAACCTTCGTGAAAGTGCGATTAGTGACAGCTATTAAATTTGTCCCTTCGCGCCTTCCGTCCACTGTTCCGCCGTAAGCATGCGCATTGACAGAAGCCGTCACCGCAGTCCAGTGTGTTGAGTAGAAGCCGAGTGGGGACAATAGATTAAAAATAGAAAAGTACCGGTGATAAAGGCGGAGATAAGGAGCAGAACGAGAGACGGTGGAGAGATGGATCAGTTGGAGCGGTAAGGCTCACCTTTGACCCGGAAATAACTGCAGATAACGCTCGAGCACGTAGAGCTAGCATCCAGTGTGATTCATTCAAACTTTATTTAAACAGACTGCGTGAAATAAGAGTTAGCCGTTAACAGCAGCGTTTTTATCCAGGCAGTCGGCGTCTAAACTTTATTGACACAGCCTCCCTGAACAGTCCGTTTGTTTCGGAGCGTGAGACGGTCGCGTGCGCTGTTGTGTACAAGTGAGAGGACCTGTGGAGGTGTGACGTCAGCGCGGGGCTCCGTCTTTTAAATGGAGATTAGGAAGGACGCGTGAGATAAAGGGGCGACTTCACCTGTGAGCAGTGACGGCGCAGTGTGTCGAATCTTTCCAGCCAATAGTTTCGGGCTCGCGGAGCCCCGTTTAACAGCTCGCTGCTGCCATCCGCTGGTCGTCCGGTGTACAGCAGCGCTGCTGTGGTAATACATGCAGTGGAGATGAATCAAGCATTTTAGCTGATCCAGCATAAACCATGAGCACGTCCCTCAGGTGACACCTGGGATTACCTGCTGAGTACTTCCTGTTTGTCTTTCAGTCCCCAAGATGACAACGCACAGGAGACAGATTGTCACGTCGACAATGCCGATGGAAACAACAACAACAACAACCGGCGCAAGGTAACCTGTTCCTGTAACCTGTAGTCAGAGACCAGGTGAGGCCCAAGCACCAATCAGACCAATCTGATAGCGTGTTACTGTTTCCGTGGTGATTTGATGGTTGTTTTCCTCTTCACGATGACATTTTAAGCTGCTGCTGTTACTCATTGTGGCCTTGTCTGATTGGTGTTTGGACCTCACCGGTCAGCTGCTGTGTTAATAAAGTTTATTTGAAGCCAGTAGAAACTCTGAGACGTGAGGACCTTCAGGTTTCTGAACGGTCACTGGACTGGATTAGCTAATAAATAACGAGCTAATGTTTCTCATGAGACTAGTTTAGACCCTCTTAGACTCAGACTGTGAGGACCTGATTGGTCAGCAGCTGTGATGTGTGTGTTTTGTAACCTGCAGACGGTGTGTCCAGGTGCAGGTGAGCACCCCCTGCAGTATAACTACACCTTCTGGTACAGCAGGAGGACCCCGAGTCGACCTGCCAGCTCTCTGAGCTACGAGCAGAACATACGACAGATCGGCACCGTGGCCTCGGTACGTATGGACAGCTTCCTCTGAGGACACGCCTCCTCTGATTCAGTCACGTGATCAATCTGACCGCAGGCTCGATCAGTAAAGTCTGTGTGATCGATCGTTCTGATAATCAATGATGTGTGTTCAGGTGGAGCAGTTCTGGAGGTTTTACAGTCATCTGGTGAGGCCAGGTGACCTGAGCGGCCACAGCGACTTCCACCTGTTCAAGGAGGGCATCAAACCCATGTGGGAGGTAACTAAGTACCCAGTACTCCTGCAGTACTCCTGCAGTACTCCTGCAGTACTCCTGCAGTACTCCTGCAGTACTCCTGCAGTACTCCTGCAGTACTCCTGCAGTACTCGTAGTACAGACTTGTGCTGCTCAGACAAATGAAAGTACAACAATAAAATCATCATAGACACACAGTGTGACATCACGTCCCACCAGGAACTAGTCCTACCTACTGACGGCTCTGCCAAGTTCTTGCAATGGTTGCTTAAGGATGAAATGGCCCGTAGTAACGGCGATGGGCCCTTTTCCTGGCTGTGCCCAGCACATCCTGGGCCTGGCTCCAGGGTGTGGCCTGGTAACCCCAGGCAGGGAGGACTGTTTCCTGGTGATCTTCTCATGGAGGTTTTTAATAACTCTGTCTGGTCCCTAAACCCATGTCCAGTTTGTCATGGGAGGCCCTACCAGGGAGCGACAGCCCTCTGACACACAAGCCCAGTGACCTCTGCAGCGCACAAACCCCTCAAACTCAAAAGGCAGCGCTTCACAGAGTAATGAAGTACTGCTGAAGTGTTATTGAGGGCCGTGGGCTGTTTGAACGCAGCGGCTATCGTTAAATAAAATGTATTTGTTAGGCAGCCTGGATATTAGCGTTGAGGACAATGTCGGCCTCTCTGATCCTTTTCTGGTTGCGTTTAATGCCGACGTGGGTGTAACACATATGGTTTCCCCGTACGTTAATCAACTCTGGCTAATTTCACTGCTGTCTTTCTCTGTCCGCCTTGATCCTGCTGTGAAGGACCCCAGCTGTTGTACCCCCCTTGGCTGGTGAAGTTATGAATGCTGTGTCATCCACATGCTCCACCACCTTGGACCTAGTGGCCTCCGTAGAGATGAAGCGTCTTAGATCCTCCCCTCAACCCTGGTTAAATGACTTTATACGAGATTCACGCCGTATTGGTCTGAAGACGAGGAGCCTTTGCCTCCTCAGCACCTCTGGAATAGTCTTCCTGCTACCATTCGTACCTCTGACTGCGTGCACGCCTTTAAAGCACGCTTCAAAACTTACCTGTTCAACCTGGCTTTTCCAGCTGTTGTAACAGGAAAGTATTAACTGCTCATCAGTGTACTCGAGTACTGCAGGAGTAATCCTGAAGATGTACTCTGATACTGGAGTTTGTGATACTGCAGCAATCCTGTACCGCCCCCCTGCTGTACTGCAGTTGTCCCAGATAACGTCCTGCAGTGATGTCAGAGCTGTGTGGTCACATGACTGACGCACTCAAACTCTCCTACCTGTCTCTCACCTGTTGTGTCTCCTACCTG